CTACGCTATTTTACGCAGCGGAGCCTCTTTGTTTATTTTACGTGAAGAGCTCTGGGGATCTGGTGCCTATTGCTATCCAGCTGTTCCAACAACCCAGCATGACCAACCCAATATGGACTACTAGAGACTCATATTATGATTGGCTGCTGGCAAAAATGTGGCTCCGCAACGCTGACAATCAAGTACATCAGGTCAGTAAACAATGATGAATGCAAGTTGTTATATCTCCCAACTCAAATACATTTTCTGATTGAAGGGAACGTGTAAAATGTTTGACTCGCACATGATCAGATCATGCTCTTTGAAACAGCTTCAAATTTGTGTGCCAGCTAGCGTAAAGCAACGATTTTTTCGCAGTGTTTTTGTTTTTTGTCTCGCGGAAACAAAACTCACTTTTTCGCTTGGGGCAGTCATTAAGTGCTTATTATTCGTTTCTTTGCAAAGGCCAGAAAATAAATTCCTAATTCAATTTACTATTTGATTAATTAATCTCTCTAATAAATGGTAAATTCAACCGTAGTATTTTGTTAATTTTTACAGATGGGGACTCACTTATCCAAAACTCATTTGCTTATGGAAGCGTTTGCTGTTGCCACATGGCGTCAGCTGCCATCAATCCATCCAGTCTTCCAACTTCTGTTTTCTCATCTCCGCTATGTCATGGCCATTAACACCTTGGGAAGAAATGAACTGATTGCACAAGGAGGTATCGTGGACAAGACTCTTAGCATAGGAGGTGGAGGTCACATTCAACTGCTAGAAAAGACGTACAAGAATTTCAAATTTGAGATGTTCTCTTTGCCAGACATGTTGAAGAAGAAAGGTGTTGATGATATTGAGAAGTTGCCAAATTATTATTACAGGTGAGTGATATTTGTATTACTCGGTAATCCTTCGTAGACAAAGTATAAAATTGTACAGTCAGCTTTATTTTTTGGTGCAAAGTTAACCGAGATGCTCTTAACGCCGGCACCCACTCGGAGATATGTTGCAAGGACATGGTGGAGCGACAGTTTTAATTATTCTTGTGACCTGCCCGTTTTTGTGACATTTCTCCTCGAGACCCAGAGAGGAGAAAGTGATAACAGGTTAACAAGATGGAAGCTTAAAATGCGACTGATCATAGATAAGCTTTAAAGCAGTCAGAGAGAATATTGAACAGATCCTGGAGATTGAAACCTTTCAGACATAGGGCTATTTATCAAACAATTTCATTCCCTGATTGGCTCAATATCTTGAAACTGCATGGGAGAGAGAGCCTTAATAGAGGTGGCGGCTTGCTAAAATATTGGAATCCTGAATTAAGGACTTATTAATCATTAATCAGGGGAGTTAAAATGTAGTCAAAAGAGAGGGGTTATGAGTCTTAGGTATTCATCTGTGGATAAATCAAAACGATACCTTAAGTAACTGCATGACCAATTTATTAGGGATGACGGACTTCGCTTGTGGACAGCCATCTCAGATTTCATCCGGGAATTCATCGGCATTTTCTATCAGTCAGATGATGACGTAGCCAAGGATTACGAAATACAGTCCTGGGTGAGAGAAATCCACGACGATGGCCTCCCTGTTAGAGAAGGTGACGTAGATCACGAGTTTCCCGACAGTTTGCAAACACGTGATCAGCTTGTTCACATGTTGGTCTGTGTTGTGTTCACATGCTCGTGTCAACACGCAGCGGTCAACTTTTCCCAGATGGAATTCACAGCCTTCATACCAAATGTTCCGCCAGTCATGCGTCTGCCAGCACCCACAAGGAAAAACCAGGCGACTCTGGAGCTCATCATGGATACTCTGCCGAACAAGAGTCAAGCTGGTTGGCATATTGCTACCATGTACGCTCTGACGCGAGTATCAGAGGACGAGGTAATATGCGAAAATCACTCTAAAAAACTACAAGGCAATATTGAGTAGGAAAGCTATAATTCAAAAAGCTTAGGCGCGGTCGTGTTATTTAAAGCCCGATTTAGCTACAAACCCAGGATCAGCGAAAATTTTGATTTCAGTTTTGCAACTTTTTGGTGAGGTTTCTTGTTTACATCGTTTTTAAGTTCAGTTTTGAATTTGAACAATCTCAAACTACACAAAACATAAGTAGTGAAAAACATTTTTAACCTGGATTAGCGCTAATCGGTTATCTAACAACCCGGCCATGGAAATTAGAGAATGAACTTTGGAGTAAATCCTGAAAAGCAACCATGAATTTTTTTGTGAGCGTTAGCCCAGCAAGGAAATTGGGAAGCACAGTAGTCAATCCTGTTGAAGTCAGTGGGCTTCGAAGCCACGACCTCCTAATTACTGATCATCGTTGCTGTACCGACTGAGCTGAGCTTAAGGGTTATTTCCATCGCTTAAAATTACTATAAGAATTAATTCTCAGCTATCAACTTCGGTGGAAATCGAGATCGAAGTGCTCAGGCTAATTCAGTAGATCGGGTATAGAGGATAGTCGCCCGCCGTCGTTCTGTACTAAATGGGTAAAATTATCAGCCCGGAACAGACTTTGGTAGCTTGACAGTGAACACGCGCTAGAAGTGGAAGTGGAGGTTCTCAATCTAATTAATGATTCATCGAGTTAAAACAAAGAAATTCACCGACAACCGTGAACGAGGTTTGGCTTTAATTAGTATAGATTTTGACGATTTTACTATAGATTTTTGACGGTTTTTTTTTGTTTCCAATTTGATGTGGCTTGATGTTATTAGACCGGTATCAAACGCAATTAAAACGTTCATGAAACTGTGTCAGCAGTTTTGTCCTGGTTTGTAGCAGTCTTTGTTTTAATGTCTGTGTTTTTTTGTAGCGTTTCATCGGAGACTACTCCCAAAGTCCCCTGATGGGCAGTGAAGTAGAAGACGCTATTTCTCGTTTTCAGTCTTCCCTCCAGAGAGTCTCTGAAGAGATCCAACAACGCAATGCATCAATGGAATTTCCTTATCCTTACTTGTTACCAGAGAGGATGCCAAACAGTATTGCGATCTAAAACAAAGTGTTGATTAAGGCCTGCTTCTAGATCTTAGTTTTATCCCATCCTAGAGGAAAAGGAACAGTTTTCAAGTTTGTGATTTTGTTACTAGTTTTCAGGTATGCCACTCAAACAAACCAAACAGATACTCCGTATATTATAGCATGGTTAGAAAACGTAGACTAGTGAGACCAGTAAGCTATCTACAAACAAATGGCCACGGTGCTGAACTCGAGACTAACAAGATCCAACGAATCAAACTACTGGCAGGGTAAAGAGCTTGAAGACGAGATCTGCGGCTCACAAGACCAGTGATTAGTACGTCGGCCAAGCTGCCTTCTTTAATTAAGGGTTACAAATTTCTACAATACTCAAGAATGACAATCTGTAATTTTATGCGTTATCCCATGATTGCCAATAAACCACGTCAATCAGAAGTTAATTAACTTATTATATCACAGAGAAAATCATATCACTGTGATTGGTTAAGAGCAGGCAGATACAATGTATTTTTAATTTGCACTGTAGCGCAAATTGATACAAGTGTAACTAATTATTTGCGCTTGAATTCTTACGATCACCTGTACAAATTGCTTTTCTAGATTCGGAGTGAATAGTGCTCCGCTAAACACCTCCGTTAACCAATCAGAACACGTGAAAAACACTATTCATTTGTGTGGTATATGAATACCAAAACTGCATAGGCAATGATATGAAGGCGAATGCAATTAAAGATTTACACTGCAAGTTGTATTCGAAAAGTTTCTCAAAATTGCACGAGCTTCTAGGCGAGAACAATATGATAGAATTTCAAATATAACAAGTAGAAAGATTGGCCAAATTTACTACTTCAAAATCTAATACCATACTCATTCAAATTACAAAATTAAACAACTGCACAGAATATGCGTAAATGTTGCTCGACAAGAAAATGGCGTCCACAGAGGCTGAACTGAAGTTTCGTCTCTACCGCGTGCTTAGTGGTGTTCTTCTGAATCACTTTTTTCCTCCAATGTCTTTAGAACATTATTTTATCAAAATGACAATAAAGCGTTATTTTAGTAGTGGCTAAAGGATCTTAACAAAGGATGAAAGAAACGTTTCTTTGGGCGGTTTCGCGAAATTTGATGCTCTTATTTCTTTTGTCTTTTGAAATCGAGAAATTAAAACCTTGCGAAATATTGCCTAGCCGAAATCGAGAAATTGAGAACGCTTGAAATTAACTAAGAAAGCATATTTATTAGAAACACTTAATTGTGATCTTTTTGATATAGGTGACAGAAATAATTACAACCTTTATAAGTTCCGTTAAGACACTTCGGTTAACAGAAGAGCTATAGCGAAACGCAGCTGCTTTGACAATACTTGTTTACGGTATATTCTCACTGAATGTAATAAGAAAATACTTTAAACAAGTATTGTCTCAATGAAGACATAATCCATACCAGCTAATGCAAATCGCAATCTCGTATCCAAGGTGTCTCTTGTAATACATAAAAAATAAACAGACTGTCAGTTGAATGAATAAATATATATTTTGGCACCGTCTGGTCATACAACTCAAATGGACGCTGAGCACGGCTATGGCCTAATTGAGATAATTATTTTCATTTCCCGCCCTAGTTAGTTTGATCTTTTTATTTATTTTCGTTATCGTACCCGGGAATACCGCACCTTCCGCTCCTTCTGGGTATATTACCATCAAGGTTAGCAGTTAATGGAAATCTTAATTGCGCACACGACACAGCTGCCTTATGTGAAAGGAAGGCTCCCTTTCTTTGGCCAATGGAAACGAAAAAAGAAAAAAGCAACTATTGAATAACGGCAGGTGGATCAACAATTTCATTCGACAGTTAATATTTTTCGGTGGGCAACGAATAAATTTGCAATTGACGCAAGTGAGGAATCTAATGTGTACTTTCAAAACATAACGCATGTTGATTGTGTTAATAATGCTTCGGGATTAATCGGCAACAATTCATTTCTGAACATCAGTTCTGAGGGTAGCAGGAGCCTGTAGAAAGCAACATTTAATTTGACATCAGACCTTTTTACATCTTTGACTATTCCACGGCTGTTAATTAGGGTGCCTCGGAAACAGAAAAACACCAAGCGAGTGACTCTGAATACAGGACGTGTCATAAACCATGAACGCGCCATTTGATAACGCCACACAAGCTGACTGCCTCGTGGAAGTTCCTCTCCTTTCACTTACTGGTGAACGAGTTGGTATTTTAGTTAACATAATCGCCAATATAGGGCTCATGTTCACGGCAATTTTGGGAAACGTTTCGATCCTTCTTAGCTTTGTGTTTGCATCGTCTTTACGTAAAACTTCGAACTATCTTCTGCTTGGCTTAGCTTTGACTGATCTTGGAGTGGGACTTGTTGTTCATCCATTGTATATCTCTGTGATGTTAAGCGTCTACGCCAACTCTGCACCGCATTGTACTGTTTTGGTTATTTACAGCATATCGGTCTCATTTTTAGCTGGCGTCTCTTTTCTCTACATTGCAATGATTGGCTTGGATAGATGTTTAGCAATCCGCCTGCACCTGCGATATGGACAGATTGTGACTGAAAAACGATCCGTCATTACACAGGGAGCTGTATGGGTAATAAATGGGTTGCTATGCTTGGTTTGGTTAGCAGGTTTTCAAGTTTACTCCACGTTAGCGGCTGTTGTTGTTGCTATTTCTCTTCTCGGTACACTTGCTGTTTATGTTAAGATCTACCAAGTGGTCAAACGGCATAAAGCTCAAATTCGGGATCAATTGACAGTGCAGTTGTCGGAAATTGAGGTCAGTCGCTTGAAAAGATTGCGGAAATCGGCCGTCAACACTCTTTACGTGTTCTTCGTCTTCCTGTTATGTTATCTTCCCTTTTTCGTCGCCACAGCAATAAACAACATTTTAAAGTCTTCAAATACATCGGTTGTATTGGCCTATGAGTTCTCGGTTACATTGATGCTTTCTAATTCTTCATTGAATCCACTGATGTACTGCTTGCGTCTCCGAGATTTCCGGACCGCTGTTAAGAAAACCTACAAGAGAATATTCTGTTTGGATTCTGAACATGAATAAAACTACAGCAACGCCGAAACTTATAAAGCCTGTGAATCGTAATTACTTTAATCTTCTTAAAGATGGTTAATCAGGCTATAGCGGGTTGTGTATAATTATGACAACAGACGCAATAAAATGTACGCATCATGGCTATTTCCTATTTTCATCAGCGCAGCTCAAGTTTAACTTTAGGACATTTTTATCCTTTTCAAATATCGGCGTCACAGAAGATGAGGAATTAACTATTCTTATTTACTTGGTTAAATGTAGCTTCTTTTAAAGTGGTAAAAATTCAAGAACTCCGTACCATTAGTAAAACTCAATATTAATTCAAAATGGTAAAATCTGATTACATAACCATCAACAAACTTCCCTACAAAAACTGTAACTCAATACCTCAAACTCCGTGCTCATTTTCATGCCAAAAGGTTATTATAAGGGCAGACGGTATAGAAAAATTTAAAGTAAAACGGTCCCTTCACTGCCTTCACTTAGTTTACAAATTACTGGTGAAGATATATCGTAGAATTAAGAGAACCATACCCAGTACCATATGGTAATTTTTCTGAAAGCTTTTGTCAATATGTTTGGATGAGTGATATCTTGATAATCTCTTCAGTTGGTGGTACTTGATATATTTCATTACGTTAGTAGCTCGTGAACATGTGAATTGTTCGTATGTTGTTACTGTTCAGTGACCTGAAAGGCGACAAAAAAGCATTTTATGAAGACATGATTGATCATCGCTGTTATACCGCCGCACAACTTAGGCAGTTGTGAAATTAGAGCCTCAAAAAATTCAGGCTTGAACGGGATTCGCCGGCACCATTGACCTCTGTGATACCGATGCAGTGCTCTACCAACTGAGCTATCAAGCCAACTGGGAGCTGGTCACATTGTGAGTTCGCAATATACCCGTTCAAGCCTGAATTTTTTTCAGGCTTTAATTTCACAGCTGCTTAAGTTGTGTATTACTGCGATGATCAATCATGTCTTCACGTCTTTCACCGCAATTCAAATATATGATCTTTCATCTACGGGTATATTACGAATTCCCAATGTGACCAACTCCCAGTTGGCTTAATTGGAACCATTGACCTTTGCTATCGATACCGGTGTAGTGCTCTACCAACTGAGCTATCAGGCTTCCTGCTGCATTTGGGACAAATTTCCTCGGAGATTTTTCCTTCATCGTACTTGATTTTCATGTACTCGACAACGTTTTCGCCTTCTTCAGTCGAAGGATTGGCAACATGGTCTAGACTGTGATAATGTTCCTCGGCCTCTTGCCCTAAGAAAGCCATCCAGTTGAGGTTGTGATCTGTGCTAGATGTATCCTGGGCTTATTATTCGCAGGCCACCCTCGCCTAAACCAATATTAATAGGAAAGTGCCTTTTAAACATGTTTCTGTTGACTTTTGTGGTTACGCATCGCAGTCTATCTTTTATTACTATTATTTTTTATCAGTCAACATTATGATTATCGTCATTGAGCGATACACAGTCCCAGGGATCATTGCGGGGTTGATAACAAGAAAAACGGGGATAATTTCGGGGTCGATTTGGGGGATCATTTCAGGGTTGGAGATCATTTCGGCGTCGGGATCATTTCGGGGGCTTTACACATGGCAGACGTCCCTACAAAAAAATTGTTTTTGCTTTTTCATTTTGTTCGCTCTAATCTGGCCTTGCATACGGCTGGCTCGCTTGAGATTTCAATTGACCAATCAGGATTCAGCAGGCGGGAAAAACTTTACTCTCCTGACGTCAGTGGAAAGGCATTGAAATCATGCAACTTTTGTCACGGGAGATGACATTAAATATTCACGAAAGGGGATTTTCAATTCACAAAACTATATCAGATTGTAAAAAGTGAAAAATATGAAACACTTTGTGTCTCAAAACTTCTACTTTGGCGCCAAAGATGGGTCGCCGGCGTCCGGCATGGCAACTCGCTCGTAGTTCGTCGAGTGTCGCCAGGTACGATCATAGTTGTCTTATGTTGAACAAAATATGTTGTTCCTCGTCAAATTGAACACGGAATTCTCAAGTTAACTACTTGAAGAGGCCAAAGCAATTTTAGCATTGTCTTTATTTTTGTTAAAAATGGGTATTATCATGTCATTTCGGTAGGAAAGCCGAGTTTTGAGTACCGCTCGTATTTCGGGCGCAGCCGCCGTATGCAAGGCTGTAGTTCTTAAAAATGATCGTTTCGGTATTTTTCTTTTCATGGTAATGCAGGCCCAGTACACCTGATGTGAACTGTGATTGGCTCAAAAGTAGGTGAATTAACATAACTCGATGTAGACTGACTCATTGGTTACCACACATTACTACCAATCGTGACAGAAAGTCTCAATGGGCTTAAGCGCCAACCGTCTAATGCCCAAGAAGTTAACCGCCAAATATTTTTTACCGTCAACCGTCAAATGAGCAAGCCATCTGATATTGGCCGTCAAACGTCTTAGATATCGTTAATTAAGAAGTAAACGATTGACTCAAATGGGGTCAAGTTATATTGTTCATAAATGACTGTTTTAATATATCACAATAATAAAAATATATGCAAGCCTTTAGCTAGTCTCCTGAGCAAGCGATTAATATGTCCAACCGTAACAAAGGTGATGGAATTACGCTAATTAGCCACATAGTGGAATTAAGACCGAAGTCTTAATTTTTAATACAGAACTTATAGCAAAGCTGTATCTTTTTTATGAAAAATTACAGCCAAATTTGCACTTCAGTTTTAAAGTCATTCCGAAAAATTAACCATCAACCGTCAAATGACCTAAAATTTAACCGTTAACCGTCAAAACGGCCAATTTTTTACCATCAAACCGTCAAAGGGGCTCTCTCCATTGAGAACCACGTGACAGCATCCGTTTTTGTGCCAGTTGCAAAACCGTGAGGTCGATAAACAGTCCTGAAAAAAGCATTCGAATATCAGCACGTTTCAGAGCCAGTACTGACGTCACGAAAACGTAATGAAATATATAAAGGTACCACTTATCCAAATATATTGACAAAAGCTTTCAGAAAAATTACCATATGGCACTGGGTATATCTACACAAGTAAACTAGAAACCAAGAAAAGGCAATGAAAGGACCGTTTTACTTTGAATTTGTCCATACCATCTGCCCTCATAATAACCTTTAGGCATGAAAATATGCATTGACTATGAGGCGTTCTTTCAGCTCTTGTAGGGAAGTTTGTTGATGGTTATGTCATCTGATTAAGCATTTTGAACTGATATTGGGTTTTAGTAACGTGTATGGAGTTCTTGAATTTTGATCACTTAGAAAGAAGCTGTAATTAGCCAAGTAAATAAGAATAGTTAATTCCTCATCTTCTGTGACATCGAGATTTGAAAAGGATAAAAATTCCCAATGATGAATACATTTTATGATTGCGCCTGTTTTCATAATTATACACATCGCGCTTTGGCCTGATTAACCATTTTAAGAAGATTAAATTAAACTAATTGCGATTCACATGCTTTATAAGTTTCGGCGCTGCTGTAGTTTTAATCGTCATCAGAATCCAAACAGAATATTCTCTTGTAGGTTTTCTTAACAGCGGTCCGGAAATCTCGAAGACGCAAGCAGTACATCAGTGGATTCAATGAAGAATTAGAAAGCATCAATGTTATCGAGAACTCATGAGCCAAAACAACCGATGCATTTGAAGACTCCAGTATAATGTTGTTTATTGCTGTGACAACGAAAAATGGAAGATAACAGAGTATGAAGACGAAGAACACGTAAAGAGTGTTGACAGCGGATTTCCGCAACCTTTTCAAGCGACTGACCTCAGTTTCTGAAAACTGCACTGTCATTTGATCCCGAATTTGAGCTTTATGCCGTTTGACCACTTGGTAGATCTTAACATAAACAGCAAATGTACCTGTAAGAGAAAGAGCCACAACTACAGCCGCTAACGTGGAGTAAACTTGAAAACCTGCTAACCAAACCAAGCATAGCTACCCATTTATTACCCATACAGCTCCCTGTGTTATGACGGATCGTTTTTCAGTCACAATCTGTCCATATCGCAGGTGCAGGCGGATTGCTAAACATCTATCCAAGCCAATCATTGCAATGTAGAGAAAAGAGACGCCAGCTAAAAATGAGACCGATATGCTGTAAATAACCAAAACAGTACAATGCGGTGCAGAGTTGGCGTAGACGCTTAACATCACAGAGATATACAATGGATGAACAACAAGTCCCACTCCAAGATCAGTCAAAGCTAAGCCAAGCAGAAGATAGTTCGAAGTTTTACGTAAAGACGATGCAAACACAAAGCTAAGAAGGATCGAAACGTTTCCCAAAATTGCCGTGAACATGAGCCCTATATTGGCGATTATGTTAACTAAAATACCAACTCGTTCACCAGTAAGTGAAAGGAGAGGAACTTCCACGAGGCAGTCAGCTTGTGTGGCGTTATCAAATGGCGCGTTCATGGTTTATGACACGTCCTGTATTCAGAGTCACTCGCTTGGTGTTTTTCTGTTTCCGAGGCACCCTAATTAACAGCCGTGGAATAGTCAAAGATGTAAAAAGGTCTGATGTCAAATTAAATGTTGCTTTCTACAGGCTCCTGCTACCCTCAGAACTGATGTTCAGAAATGAATTGTTGCCGATTAATCCCGAAGCATTATTAACACAATCAACATGCGTTATGTTTTGAAAGTACACATTAGATTCCTCACTTGCGTCAATTGCAAATTTATTCGTTGCCCACCGAAAAATATTAACTGTCGAATGAAATTGTTGATCCACCTGCCGTTATTCAATAGTTGCTTTTTTCTTTTTTCGTTTCCATTGGCCAAAGAAAGGGAGCCTTCCTTTCACATAAGGCAGCTGTGTCGTGTGCGCAATTAAGATTTCCATTAACTGCTAACCTTGATGGTAATATACCCAGAAGGAGCGGAAGGTGCGGTATTCCCGGGTACGATAACGAAAATAAATAAAAAGATCAAACTAACTAGGGCGGGAAATGAAAATAATTATCTCAATTAGGCCATAGCCGTGCTCAGCGTCCATTTGAGTTGTATGACCAGACGGTGCCAAAATATATATTTATTCATTCAACTGACAGTCTGTTTATTTTTTATGTATTACAAGAGACACCTTGGATACGAGATTG